GACTCTCTCTCTCTCTCTCTCTCTCTCTCTCTCTCTCTCTCTCTCTCTCTCTCTCTCTAAACACAGGCTATTTACATGACATTAAAGATAAGATTTAACAGGGTTTTTTCGGGAGAAAATCACAATGTTGCTATCGCGTTAAGCTTACAGGGTTGTCTTATAGGCGACCTACTCAACTTGTGTGCATGCTCGTAGACTTGCACTGGCCACTTGCTCCGCTGATTATTGTACGTTCTGGAACAGAGATTGCATAGAGTACGTTGGTATCTTTTTATTTTCTCAATTAAGGGAGAGGTAACATGGGGGGGGGGGGGTGGGTGTTGTTAACAGGCAAACTGTGACCACAACTTTCCCTAAACACATACACTTTTACGTATAAGGCGTCCTAAAGTTTCATTAATCAGTGTTTGAACATCATTTTTTCTCTTTCTCGTCACAGTTATAAGCTGTTTGTGTTATACACGTGTTGTTTTCAGGTGTCGGAAGAAGTGTGCCGGCACACGACTTTGATGACCACTTTGATGTACCGCCCAGGTAACGGTCCAGTCAATAGGCAGCAATAGACATAACAACAGGCAGATTAAATCGTTCTTTCATGAAACAAAAGACACCCATATTAACATTTTACTCTTGTCAACCAACATTTTGCGGCATTAGGTTTAGGACTTATTCTGTTTTCAAACAGCATGATCCGTAGTTCCAATAAAAACTTCGCTTTAATGAGTCACCGTACCATGTTATCCCTTTAAATGTGTGACTTTTCATGCAGAATTAGTAAGTGATCAATGAGAATTAAACTATGCTAATGTTGTTGTGCTATGAACGTACTAAAACATGACTAAATCCCTGCACGAGCCCTACACATAAATAGCTTAACCACTATCAATTACGACCTTCAGTCTTTACAAGAGAAAGCCAGTAAATCTTGGAAAAAAATTGGTTTGCCCAAAAATACGACTTTCTGTAGTAAAAGCAGTGCTTGGAGATTTTCGGAAAAAGTAATGTACAAGCTTAAGGATGACAATCAAATATTTTTCACACAAATAGACTTTAAGTCCCAGTTGTTTTAGTTAGCCTAAATTAAATAATTTGAGAACAAAATTTATCAGAACTTTTGAATTAAAGACCAAAAGAAAAAAATTTTCTTTTTTAATTAAGTAAAGATAATTTTATCATAGTAGGAAAAGGGAACTACAACAGAAATGTGCAACATACAAGGACTCTGTCTTCTGTCACAACGTACAAGGTTTTTTACAGGCACTGAGTGTATCTGACTACGACCTGAATGAGTGGAGACTTTTCTTAGACAGTTCAAACAGACAGAAGTCTTGTTTGTTTTAGTAGAGGCTTTAAGGCGCTCCCAACTGCATAAGGTCATATGAACCCCAGAACAGAAGTCTGAAGTATGTGCTACGCAGGCTATAATGGAAATTCACTAACTGGGTCATTTCCTATTGGTTACTAGAAGAATACAGGCACATAAAAACAGTGTTGAAGTGACTTGAATACAGGAACCACATCTAAAAGAATTGGGTTGATCTGAAAACGGTCAACGTCATACTGAACCAATAGGATGACTGTGCAAAGTATCCATTATCTCTTTGTCTGTGTGATAGCCAAAGGAAAAACACTGGGAACAAACGATTTTACCAATGAAGACGGCTGTAATAGTCGGAGAGAAGATTATCATCAATAAATTACTAAGAGGGGTTACAAGAGAATAAGAAACACAAAAAGAAGGATTGATAAGACCAATATATTTTTTATAGGAACGATGGAGCAAACCACCCCAGAGCACCTGCCAACCACCCACACCGGTCTGTTCAAGTTCTCCTACCAAGTTATTCAATACAACATAATATTATCGCTTGTACTTTATTCTCTCCAGCAACATGGGAGACTACTCTGAATCCCATTACAGCTACCAGACGGTCACCACAGAAGCCAGTCTTCCAACGTCGCCTGTCAACATGACCACGCCCTGTCACACAGAGAGCATCAATGTAGACGTTCGTGTCTGGCGGGCAACCATGTATGGTATTGGCGGAAGTTGCATTTGCTGCATAGGAGTCGTCTGCAATTTCATATCCATTCTGGTACTGGCGAATTTCAAGTAAGACATTTTCATTATCAGGAGGTCGCTACACAAAGGAGAGCGAGTCATTGTTTGTGGCATAACTGTTACGGGCTGTAAAGCCCATAGTGCTTGCTTTTGAGCGGAATTCACATTTACTCGATAGAAATGCTATCTATGTTTATCACTGTAAACGTGCGCGACTTGGATGTGTGTGTGTGG